TCATTACTTGATGTTAATCCACATAATGAACATCCAGGAATAATACTCGAATCAGAATTTTTTGATGATCCTGATTTTACTTTACGATATAGTAATATTCAACGAAGAGTTGTTTCGGCAAGAATTAATAATGCTCGTAAGTATCTATTTCAAGAGTAATGATACAATTCATTAGTCCCAATGATTTTCGTTGGGTTATAATAAGCTTGCGCTCTTGTTAAGGGCTCATAAATCTTAGCTAAAATTCTCTTAGAAATGTATAATTTGCACCTAGTGAGATAGATCTATACACTTTTAAAAAGAAAAATATGAATGAAATCGTAAAAACACTATAATTTTGACATAATCTATGTGTCTGTAATTTCTATTCTTTTCTTTCATATAGACATGTCGGACAGTTTCTATACATTAAAAATACATATTCTTAATATCAAGTTTTGCCTTAACTGCATAATCTTAGTCATAACATAATTTCATATAATATCAATGAAAATAAATTTTATTTTATACTATTCATTTTTATTTATCATCTTAAGCCAATACAACTTCATCTGCATCGACTACAAATCCAATTGTTCCTGGTGATCAATTAACAACAACAGCAGCAGCAGCAGCAAATTCTTCTACAGCAGTTACATCTTCAAATGTATCTAATGATCGTAAACGTCATCGTTATGATCCACGTTGGCTTGATGGTTCTTTACGTGAAGAATTATTTGGTCGTATTGATCGTGAATTAAAACCCGATGATTTATCATTAGTTAAAGATTCAAATCCTAAAACTACTACATCGATTAGAAAAGATCAAACAAGTCAACAACAGCATTCCACATCGACAATAAATCCAAATCCAATACAATTCGGTGAACAATTACAATTCTGGACAGATTCAAATTCTGAAAATAATACATATCCACGTTTTACACATATAGCTTGTCTTCATTCAGAATTAATTGCTATTAATACTCATGGACAATTATGTCAATGGAATTGGCAAGATGATTATCCATATCAAGATCCAGATAATATTCAAATAAAACATCCAAAAACTTTAAGTTTACAATTATTAAATGAAAAACTTATTAATTTATCAGCTAATTTAATTCGTGCAACAATATTAACTGAAACAAATTGTTTAGCAACATGGATTGATGAATCATTAGGTACACAAGTTAATCATAAACTTCAACATACATTACAAGATTTTTCATCATTACATATTCTTGATATTCAAACAACACCATTCTATACAATATTTCGAACGGATACAAATGATTTATATTGGTATGGTTTATTACCACATAAACCACGAAAGAAATTACTTGAACGTTTAAAAGATAAGACACAACAAAAATATCGAATTAATTCTCAACAAATTTTAACAGTTGGTTGTTCAGTTTGTTTAATATCAAATCCATATTATAATCAAGGTGCATGGGCTTTTTATATACGTGATGGACAACCAAAATTAGGACAATTAATGGATCAAGCATGGATATTATCAAATACAGCACGTTTTCGTATAAAAACAATTGAATTTATATCAAATAAAATCAAAGAAGATGATAAAAGTTCATTAGAAATGCCACCACCACCATCACCAGCATCATCAACTTGTAGTGTAGATTCTAATACAAGTTTTGTATCAACATTAAAACGTAAAAAACATACAACAGGAGCCAATCTATTTTTACCAACTACCCATGATAATGAATCAAATGAACAATCGCAACAACAACAACAGCTTAGCAAAATAAAAGATGAAGAATATTGGCCATTAGACGAAGTTATTTTTATTGAAGATTATAAAGTAGCACCAGTTGGAAAAGTTATGAAAATTGATGGTTCACTTGTATTAGTGAAATTTCCATCGAAAAATAATGATACAGATAATGATACAAATAATTTAGATAATTGTCGAATTCTTCGAAAAGATGATCTTCAAGTAAGTTTCATTTTGCACCTCCGAAGACTGCGTTTATTCCCTCGAAGATAGGGTTTTTGGCCCCTCGGAGATAAAATTCTGGAACCTATCCTCAGGGGCGTAAGTCAGGTGTCAGAGCAGGGAGGGGCGCAGGGGGCCGTAACCCTAGTTTTTCTATTTCAGTGGTCAAAAAAAGTGAACTTTATAGAAGCAGGAGGGGTGTAAACCTCTTTTTTCCTATCAGTTTTCGTAAGCAGGGAGGCGTCGCGCCCCACGCGCTCCCCCCCCCTATTTACGCCACTGCCTACCCTACTCATATTCACATACACACCCTCGAGATCACACATCGCAGAGATTAATTGGATAAGAATTCTTAAAAATTTATATTATTAATTTATTTCTTAGATTGTCAAAGGTAATCAAATACCAAAAACTCCTGATTGTACATTATCGCTTATTAATGCTAAACGAATTTCATTAGAAAATGGAACATTATTAACATATTCTGTTGATAAAGATTGTAAGTCAATTTCTATTCTTTTTCAATTAATTATCTTGTTTTTTTTTCTTAGATCTTCATACATTACAACTGTGTGATTCAACTATTTCCTATATGATGTATGAAGTTGGAAGTAATAATGGTTCATGTCGTTCAATTCGACAAAATAATTTACCATTAATTAATAATCGTCAATCTTTATTATCATTTATTGGTGATAATCCAAATTTAATACGTTTATGTACTTTAAATTCAATTGATATTCCACGTATATTAATCGATAGTAATCGTTTAATTTATCCATTTTTATATAATCAAGATAATACAAATTTTAAAGATCCACAATGGAAAAATTTATTAGGAATAAATTATTTTTCTCAAGGAATTATTCCATTAAAAACTACAAGTGATCATTCAAACAAAAATCATATTCTATTAAATATAATGCAAATGCAAAAAGGTATATTAATACCACATATACTTCGTTATGATATTGATAAAATACGTTCAATATTAAATGATATTGAAATAAATAAAAATTATGATTTATTAAAATTAATCTTAGATGAACGTATAGATGGTTGTAGAAATTTATTTCATGCTTGTGTTCATATTGGTATACCATTAACAAATAAAGAATATTCAATTAATGATGAAACAAATAATTCGAAACGTATATCATTTGCTATTGATCTTCTGCATGCACAAGAAAATAATGATCATACTTATGGCGGTAGTGCAACCCGAATTAATCAATCAACTGAACAATCTATTAATACATGGCCACCCCCACTACCACCACCGCCACCAACAACAACAAACGATCCATCAGTTTCTGTTGATGCTTGTCTTCCACCATCGCCAACTATACAACCTGAATCAACATCACATTTTTATAGAGTATGTATATATTGATTGAGTTTTTAAACTAAAACAAAATTCATTTCTAGAGCTTATCATCCGGTGCAACAACTACAACTACAACAGCAGGAGCTGCAAATTCGGGTTCATTATCTCCATCATATACACCTACAACATTATCTTCAAAAATTCAATATCTTCAACAACAAAATTCTGCGTCATCAAATTATCAATTTGCACCTGTTATTAGTCCAGCATCATCAACACGTTCAGCACGTACACATATGAATGATTTTACTGTTTGGTCATCATGTAAATATGATGAACGTGAAAAACGTTTACGTGCAATAAAAATTCTTCGTCTTTTACTTGATTGTTCACTATTACAAGATCATCTTTTATCTTTACTTAGTTTTCGTAATTTGGAAGGACAAACACCATTTATGTCTGCTATTCATTCTCGTGCTTATCCTACTGCATTAATTTTATTTGAATATGCATTAAAAATCTCAAAATATGAATCGTCAAATGAACAACAAGCATCATCTGTACAATTTTTTCTTGAATCTCCTATTATTGAATCTACGAAATTATCCCAACAAAATCTTTTACTTCAAATGATTTATCCATCAACATCAACACATTCAGATAATTCACCATTATATACTCTATGTACAAATGATACATGTTCATTTACATGGACCGGTGAAGAACATATAAGTCAAGCTATATTTGAATGTAAAACATGTGGTCTATCAGGTACATTATGTTGTTGTAGTGAATGTGCTCAAACATGTCATAAAGGACATGATTGTCGTTTAAAACGTACATCACCAACAGCCTATTGTGATTGTTGGGAAGTATGTAAATGTAAATCATTAGTAGCTGGTGATCAACAAAAACGTTTAGAATTATTTAAATTATTATTAAATGAAACAAATCTTGTACAATTAAAATATTCAAATTATGAACATTTAGTATTATATTTAGTACAAACAGTTGGAAGACAAATTATTGAACAACAACAATTTGCACGAACATCAACAGCAACAATTTTACAACAACAACAACAACAAGCAAAAAAAA